TCCTCTAGCTGGACAGCTCATTGGTCCGCATACATCACTCTACACGATTTCATTTTCATATTGCTCGAAAATTTCTGTTTGTGTTGTGTTTGTGTGTGATTTTGTTTGTGTTTTGCTGCGAATTTTGGATTTATTTGTCATTAATCAACCCACAATCCGTGTCTAATTTGTTCAGAATGAAACCATCCCTTAGTTTGATCGAAATCTATTCGAATGAGTATAAATAGATGAGAGACGAGAGAGATGGACGGTGGAGATATTTTGGAGGCTTTGGTGGAATTCATCCCATGGTTGATCCGACGGTTAAAAGAGTTTTAGGACACGTGTCGTAGTTATATTGGTTAAACACACTCGGGTACTTTTGAGTTTGCGTACTCGCAGCCACAGGTACATTCCGTCTACCCACTAATGGAGATGGGCTTTCCAAAGGCCCAAAACCTTTTTTTTAATTCACAATAGAAAATTCTAGATATTTCGCTTAAATTTATTTTTGTAAAATCCAAAATTAGAAACTGTTTTTGGGTTTTTTAAATCCAAAAACCCAAAAGATTGACAATTAATATTTTTTAAATTTGGTTTTCTTAAAAAATTAGAAATCCATTTTAGTGAAATAATTAACTAAAAATTTAAAACTTCATTTTTTCGGATTTATAAATACTATAAAAACCAAAAGTCAAAAACTAAAATTAAAAACCAAAAACCAAAACTCAAAATAAAAATGATCACCATTCAACACTATTTTTCTCATTTGATAAAGTTATGATTTAAAAAATATTGTTGTTTGTTGGTCTTTTAAACCAAACAAAACTTTATATGATCTATAACTATTAAATATTTATCAAATTATAGATAATATAAAGTTCTATTAAATTATTAAATATTTTCTTTATCGCCATTATCAATATTTTAAATGAAAATTGTGATTTGCATTTTAAAATGAGTAATATAAAACATATAATTAATTACATCTAGAATAAATATGATCTATTTTAATTTTAAAAATAATTCCTTCGCCAATGACAAATAAATAATTTCTTTAGAATGGGAATACCTTTGTATTATTATTATTATTATTATTATTATTATTATTATTATTATTATTATTATTATTATTATTATTATTATTATTAATATTATTATTATTATTATTAAGTGGTACGTTGGGTAGCCGACCAATAACATTAAAACAATCGAAATTAGTGGTTAGTGGAGCACTGAAATGCCACCAAGAAAAATAATTAATAATAATAATAAATATCATAAAGTGTGATTATCACTTAATAGTTTAATTAATCCATGTTTAACTATAAAAACTAGAATTTATTCTATCTCCTGAGAATGAGACTTTAAATGCTGGAGTTCGATATTAAAATTTCAAACCGAGTTAACCAATGTGATTTGAAACAAAGATAATAATTAACGGACTGGTTTTTTTAGTACTGACTAATCTACTTTTAGACGTAAAAATAGCAAAAAAAATACATCAATTTGGTTAAAACTGATAAATAAATACATCAATTTGTAAACTAGCTGATGAGGACATCGTAGCCACTAGCGATGCATTGGACAAAAACTTGGACAAGAGCTCGGAGGAGACGGAATTAAGGCATGGAGCTAAAAGCTCAAACGGAATGCATGGAGCTAGGATCTCAACCATAGAAGGACGAGCTATCAAATCACAAGGTGATTCACGTCCAAGAAGAGACAAGGATGGTTGTACAAAAACCGAAGGATGCATCTCTAGGTTTTGGGCCGAACCACCATTGACTCGAGCCAAAACACGAGCTCCATTCCCGTCAGATGAACCAAGACGTGAAACCTCATCTCCTTGCAAGATTAAGTGTCATCCAAGTCAAGACAAGTCACCAAAGGAAGCTTCTTGGATTGCAAGGAACCTCCAACAGCTAGTATCTTCTCAACCACCACCATTAATGACCAAGGCTCCACCTACCTTGCATGTAGATTGATCATTAATGTATTTCTAGATGTTGCTACCTACTTAGTCCTCTATAAATATGTTGTAAGAACTCCATTTCGTGCAGATTTGTTGAATGAAAGTTTCTCTTTGTCGAGTTTAT